TAACTCAACGGTAAAAAATTTAGAACAGAAAAACGAAATGCTATTAGAAAATACGGAAAGGCAAATTGACAAATTTTACAATATAATTAGATATATCATTTAGCTGCACACCAAAATTCGAGGGTTTTTTTTACTAGCAGATGTTTATCTTTAAAAGCAAATCATTGAAATGCTGCTGCATTGTTAATTGTTGTAATTAATACACATCTAATGTCTCCTCCTCGAAATGTAAAAAACGTCCTGTTACTCAATTACGATGGGAAATTTCATGAAGATGATGATCTAATGCAATTATCAGCAGAAGTTTTACCATATGGACAATGCGTCTGTTTGTAGTAAATTACCGGAAATACATTGAATGGATTTTAGACGAAATTCAGGGTCCAAAAAACGCTTTGTTCACATTTAATATTATTGCCTGTTATTGCAATTCAAGGTCCCGTTTATATTTCTTTTTCCTTTTTTCTATTTTTTAACAGGAATTTAATTTATATTGACGTTAAAATTATTAGACCGTATTTATTGTTTGTTAACACGCAGCCTGATAGTAAAAAGACTAAATTTAATACACTTTTTGAATGGTGTAACTTATTTTCTTGTTTGTAGCGGAAAGGAAACAAGATAAACATCTGATGAACACAAAATGGCGTAAGATTACTTAATAAAATGTTCAAATGAAAGCTCATGTTTCACCAGCAAAGTGAATTACATATGTCTCCGAAGCAAAATAAAAATTCTCTGTTTTTGCGAGATTTCCGTATCGTTTTAACTTACATAATAATTATGGTAAGTTGGCGGATACTTAAAAATCCCAAATGCATCTCTTATCTATTGAAAGTAGGACACAAGGATGTATGTTCTTTACTTACAAATACGATACAAATATCCCAGTCTGTACAGTATGGCAATATAGTAAGAATTTTTATTCTTGATAAGCAATTTGCATAAATATCAACATTCTGCTGGTACCTAAAGTGTCGTCTGCCTAATTCTTGAGAATATAATCTTTAAATACGGTCTAACATTACCATCTTCGCGTGTCGTCTGCGTTTTTCCTCTAAATTCCCGCCATGACATTGATGGCGATAGATAGAATCAATGGGGGTAAAATAATTATGGTAATTATGATATATGTTTAGATTATAACTAAAGGATACAAAAAATGTACAGTATCTGATCTGTGCAAATGCCCGTATCTATCACACATAGTAACATCAGACGAGAAATACCGTCCTATATATATATGTTGATAATCATTCTGACAGAAATCTTTTTCTTTCACCACAAAATGAATTATACCCGACTGATTCAGTTACTAGTTAAACCAATGGCCCATAACTTGCGAAATTCCTTATATGAACGTGTCCAGCTTCAGTTTTTGGACCATTCAATAATCAATTCATTTTTGGGAAAATAAAAATCCAAAGTTATCAGACAATAAGAGACTGGTCAGGCTGTATGGTTGTGCTCGTAACTACGGAAGCTTATAAGGGACACTTAAAGCTATGCATTTATGGCTTAGAATGACCTTTATAGAATTCCATATATTTATATACATGTAATACATTATATAAGACAGAAGATCGATACACACAGTACGGCAACATTGGCGTGAAGCTGTCATTGAATTGATTTTGCGAGTCAATATGTCGGTATGTGAAGTAAGTACATACATATCTACTTATAACAAATTAAGATGTTGGATCAAATTTCAAACGTGAAAAAGATCGTTTGAATCCAACAGTGTTCTGACGAGAGCACGGTACATAATTCATTTAATGATGATGATGGACTTTTAATAATTTTCCTATTAATATCTTAAATTAGGTCAAATATATATAATCGTCTTCCAAGTCTGGGAAGTTCAGGAACATGATTTTTTAGACATGTGCACAAACAAGTTCTTACAATGTATGTTATGTGTTTATAAACTTATACGGTTGGAATATGTGTTTACAACCTTATACGTTTAAAATATGAGTTTATAACCTTATATGTTTAGAATATGTGTTTATAACCTTATACGGTTAGAATATGTGTTTATAACCTTATACATGTACGTTTATAATAATAAAATATGTGCTTATAACCTTATATACGGTTATAATATGTGTTTATAACCTTATACGGTTAGAATATCATAAGTTTTATAACCATATAAATACGGTTAGAACAAGTAACTAACTACATGTACCATTATTTAATCAATTGTTGAGAAACCGAAACTATATCGAATACGTATATTATCTTCGTACTCTTATCTTAATATTATACAAAAAAATGTTTTACATTTAAAGAAAATATTGACCGACAGTTTTACTCGCATACATTGTCGATTATACACGGTATCCGTACATACTACATTATGTACGGCATATATACGATGGCACGACAACGCCAAACTCTTTTGCATTTTGTATTACATGTCAATAACATGTCAGTATGCACTGTGTAACTCTAAAAAAAATGTTGAATTACGAGTAGGCCACCCTAATTATTGCATACTTTTTATGATATAATCGTTAATGAAACCCTTGTTATGTGCTATTACAAAGTTATTTTTGCAACTATAAAATATATATAAAGTATACATTTTATGGTATACTGCAAAAAAAATCCTCCAATTATGTATAATAGTTCGTTGAAATAGCATTTCTTTGTTGTATATAACATAAATTAGTGATATAATGACATTAAATTCGGATAAACTATTTTAACGGACAATTGCCTTATAGAAATATCAAACATAACGTATAGGAGATTATTCTTTAATCCGTCAATACATGGACACTGATTTTCATTACATATAGAAAAAAATTTGAACATGTGTCAAAAGTTTAATCCTTTTATAATACATGCATGAAAGTAGGAAAGATCGATTTTACGCTGTCTTAATACCTCTTAAGTTGGTATTTATTAATTTGGAAAAGGAATTAAATCCCATGTTTAAAGTCTTATAAAATGTTTGGCACTGAGTGTATACAGCAAGTATTTTCGTGTCTTTCAATATATTTTACGAGCTTACATACAATATTTATTATATCGCTATTTTAGAATGTATTTTAGTTAACGAATTTAATCGAAAATATTGAATGTTGTAAACAGACGAATCATTTACATGTTGTTATGACTGTTTCATTGTTAAAATTCTATATAGATAATATTATACATGAATACATGATTTTTTTTAAACACTGGTTTTAAAAAATTATATACATGTATATATAATTAAAAATAGGAATATGGATTAGTATAAAAATAATTCACATTTAATTAGTTAATCTGCCGTAGAACTGCATATGCACTGAAAATCATTTCACAACTTCCATAGATCTCGTAAATCGAACCGAACGCATCTTCATGTTTGTTTTACAACTTCTTAATTAAGAATATAATGTGTACACCCTCTCTAGATACGCCAATGTGCTATATTTACATTATACTACCATTTCTGTCTGCATTGACTTTATTAATATCACCAGACATGCCACGATAAAACTTGAGTCATGATCTTCATGTATTAACACAAACTTATGTTTGCAAAACAAACCAATATTCTGATACGGGATCTGGGAGATCAAACCTTCCCAATAATACAAATATTGACTAAATGGCAGCCCGCTTTTTGCCTTTAATCCAAATTTACTAACGTTATGTTAAATGACAAAAAATGAGTAATATTATACGTCATATAAAAATAATCCGCAATACGGATGTTTCTTTAAGAATTATGTGGTGTCTTCGATCGTTTATTGGCAATATTGGGGCTAAGGCGTATATAACAGTGGATTTTGATATTAACATTATCGAACGAAACAATGCCATATCAAAGTTATGACAAATTTTGTACATTGAAAAATATATTGCTTTAATGACTTTGTTTTAATATTAAATGTCTTAATAAGTTTGGAATGAATAAAAATTATTGTTAATAGTCTAAAACAATAGATACTTAATTATAAAAAATAGAATGACACATTTCTGATAAAGAAATGACAATATTTCACTCCATGCATGTTTCAATGACCCAGTCACATATATTACTCACTGGATTTGACCTTTGAGCGTTTTCGTCTTGAGGTCATACATCATTTATAATTTATTATTAATACTTTGAATGCATAAGCAGACCTTGAAATCACCACGTACATTTACGTTGACACGGATGGAGATTTAGATGCTAATGTAAATTGACAAGAGATGCCTCCGAGCTATTTTTCTATCGCACGTATAGAACCTAATGTTGCAACATAGATGTTTCATTTTCTTCGCTTGTCAAGATATTCAAAAGGCTTTATCTATAGCTAAATTGCTTTGTAACATCTGCTGAAAGTGTATTTTAAAATCTGTCACAATTTCTTGAAACAAAGACTGCAAAATCTTGGTGTTTACATAAGATTGATTGTGAATGTTTAGTTTCGTAGCCGAGCGGACACACGAACGGACGGACGAACAGGCAAGGTCCCGAAAAAATGCGAATGAATTAGAGAATGAAATGAATTAGAGAATGAATGAATGAATGAATGAATTGAATGAATGAATGAATGAATGAATGAATGAATGAATGAATCAATCAATCAATCAATGAATTGAACTGAATTAAATGAATGAATGAATGAATGAATGAATGAATGAATGAAATGAAATGAAATGAAATGAAATGAAATGAATTGAATTGAATTGAATTAAATTGAATTGAATCAAATGAATGAAAGAATAAACAGACGGACGAACAAACCGACGAACGAATGAATATAGACAAAAAACAGATACATAACTTATATATGAGCTATGATGGAGATGATATGATATATATGTCATGTTTAAAATTCACAGCCCATTTATTTAGTAGAGCAGCAGAAACTTCAAGATAACAAACGCTTGTTATGCTACTGTTTTGTTTCTTGTAAGTGGAGGCACAGGGGTGAACGTACATGTATATGTGTGGGAATAATGAACTAAAGTTGTGGTTAATTCAAAAGAGGTATATTACCACTTACCATTTCATCTAGAGATTTGACGTCACATGTTTTGATTTGTGGCGGGGGCTCTCCCGTTTCTATTTCTTTATCTATTTCCTCTTCCATTTGCACAATTGTCGGAGCTATCATTCCAAATTTTGCTCCAACTCGAGCTACCTCCAAAAGACATAACACAACACTTCTCTCATTTTTTCTCATCACTAAATCATCCGTTTCGAATCTTAATACTTCCGGAATTCCCATTTTTGAGGTCCACGTGATAAAATTTGATATATTATCTCGTGCAAGAAACGTGCCAGGCTTAACATCGAGCCTAAATTGCACGTTACTTTCGGGAATTTGAATATCACGAACAAAATTTGACTGAATCGCAAAAGTACCTTTTGACTTTTGCTCCTGAGCAAATTTACGAACTTCATTCGCATGCTGACAAAGAAGGACCCCTGTTTCTAGAATTTCGAGGAAATTATCCGCATTAAGACTAATTTCTTGGTACAGGCACGTGAACCATTCAGCGAGATCCTCTTTCATGGCATACAGATATTCATCCTTCGTTCTGAAGGGCCGGAGGGATTTCGCCTCGAGGACTAACATCCCAACATTATCCCCACTTTCCTGCTCCTCCATTTTCTGCCCTCGTTTATTCTTTCCCCCTTCGCAGGGGCTTCCTTAGTACAAAATACTCCCGCTAAATCCTACATGACTGCATTTTCATCCCCTGTTTAGCTCATACGAACTAACTTTATTTCAAAAGACACACATGTTTCTAATTAACTTTATTCCTTGCATTTCATATATATCTGAGTACTACAACACCAACGTCCTTATCTTTAAACAAATCGTAATGTGAATTCCAGACTTCACATGAACATTCGAATCATCTATCAAAAACACAGGTTAATGATGTCTTTAATCAAATAAAAATCTACCTTTTTATTATTTATTTAAAATGCTTCGTAAAAATATCCAAGCGTTAAAATAGTGACCTGTTAAACACAACGCTTCTATGTAGATAAAAATTGATCTTAAAGATCTTAATACATGTTTAACTCTCGCGTTCCGTTTTTATATTAAAAGTGATTACTTTAAACTAGTAGTTAAAGTATATATACCTTTTGTCGTTATAAGCTTTAAGTAAATGTTTAAACGTAGTTCCCCAGTTCAACGCTTATTCCGTCAACCATAAAGAGCGAAAATTCCGATTATACCATTGATAAAACGACAACTGTGACAAACTTATTCAATCTGTCGTGTTTAACGTATTGTGTTTTCATACATTTATATCTTTTATTGGACATTTACGACAGCTTAACGGCTTGTATCTTATCCCTTGTAAGGGATTTAACAAAAAATCCCTGGAAATATGACCTTTACATTGTGACGTTGCTAAAGTATTCCATATATCTACGTAAATAAATCCATCATTGAACCCGATTCCTTCGAAACACTCGCGATATATATCCCCAGCATGTATATACGAAAAAAAAACACCACATGAAACTGCGAAACTTGTGAAATTCTCATGAAGCCAGCCTCTCATGTTAGAATCAATACTGTAGTCAGATCACTAGCAGACGACTTGCAGACGATAAAATACGGTGTTCGTAATAATCACATTACATGATATAACAATAACAGCAATGTCGTTTCTACTACTATATCAAACTATACCTCACAATCTTAATATTTAACGTGACTAATTAATTGGTCGCCTTAATTTTGTTAAATATATATACATAACTGACGAATTAAAGTTCCTGTTTCATTCTGTTTTATACCTTAAGTTTAAAGTACGGAACATTAATTCTATATACGGGGCGATGAGCAAGCAGATTATTTTAGAGTGCAGTTGTACATAATTAGAAATATGTAATAATGTTTAGTTATATAGTTTGTTACATACGTCTTGTTTCCACCCATACTTGTAGCATGTAGTAATTGACAGATTAAGAGAGTCAATTACGGATGTTGTTTAAGTGCTTGCAGTTTTTGTTAAGCAACGTTTCAGCAAATTAAAACAACTTTCCTCGTTGGCTTCAATGTCCCACCAGACGACACTGTAATGCACATCAATATTAATTAAAATACCGTAATGCACGTTTAGATGTCAAAATTATGTAGATTAATTAATTCAATTTAATGCATGTAAATAAAGCATGTTGTAGGTCAGTAAAATAAAAGTTTCAACGAAAAGAAAACGTGCATTGTGTATGTCTTCAAATTTTTTCAGTGATTTCATTTATCTGTTTAAACAATGAAATTTAATGGGTTTTTTATATCTAGAGTATGAAATGGAGTAAAATGTTTACATTTAAAACGATTAAAATCATATAAAAACATGCACCAAGATACAAGTTCAAGGTACGACAGTAAACTGTGGTTAACCAACGTCGATATGTAATTTCTCAAAATTTATGTGGTTACAATTTATATTATACTTTATTATGTGATATCATATATGTGTAAAAGAAAATGTAACGAAATGTAACTAAACAGCGTTTTGCAAACGGAGCTAGCTTATATTATTATATACATGTACAAAAAGTTTTAAAATTCTACAGCATGGACAAAATACATGTACATACATGTATATTTAAAGCGTTTACATTTCCAATATGAATATTTTTCCAATTTATTACAAACTACACAAATGAATCATGAATATGCCAATGTACTGATATGCACACTGAATATATAGTCTAAATAAGTTTGTCAGCGTTCATAGTCAATGTCGGTTTATCATTACGAAACACTTTACTCTAATTAGAACTGCAAACTGACCTAAATACAGTAAATTAAGATAGTGTGAATGGTAAATTGTCCCTTATCTTGAAATCGGTATATAATGTAAACACGCGTTCCTAAACATTGTTGGAAACATTGAAAGTACACTTATGTATTGATTCTTATATCCTGGTAAATTCAACAATTTATATTGACTGTACACATAAAGTACAATATCAGTCATTCAAAAACAAACTGATTGAACTATAATCAGAATTAAAATAAAAGATGTCAATAATATACCGTTATTGGGTCATTAGGAGACCCTCTGTATATGACACATTACGTAAATATTGGGCGGGTACGAGGGTATGACAGCCTCCGTATTGGACGTGTTACGAATATATCAAAACCTCGGTATTGGACTTATTACGAATATATCAAACCCTCGGTATTGGACGCGTTACGAATATATCAAAGCCTCGGTATTGGACGTGTTACGAATATATCAAAGCCTCGGTATTGGACGTGTTAAGAATATATAAAAGCCTCGGTACTGGACGTGTTACGAATATATCAAAGTATCGGTACTGGACGTGTTACGAATATATCAAAGCCGCGGTATTGACGTGTTACGAATATATCAAAGCCTCGGTATTGGACGTGTTACGAATATATCAAAGCCTCGGTATTGGACGTGTTACGAATATATCAAAGCTTCGGTATTGGACGTGTTATGAATATATCAAAGCCTCGGTATCGGACGTGTTACGAATACACCAAAGCCTTAAGCCTCGGTATTAGACGTGTTACGAATACATCAAAACCTCGGTATTGGACGTGTTCGAATATATCAAAACCTCGGTATTGGACGTGTTCGAATATATCAAAACATCGGTATTGGTCGTGTTCGAATACATCAAAGCCTCGGTATTGGACGTGTTACGAATACATCAAAGCCTCGGTATATGACGTGTTACGAATATATCAAAGCCTCGGTATTGGAAGTGTTACGAAAATATCAAAGCCTCGGTATTGGACGTGTTACGAATACATTAAAGCCTCGGTATTGGACTTGTTACAAATATTTCAGTTTCAAGATGGGACAACTCAGTTTATGTTTGATAATTTTGAAAACTCATACTGAACTTACAATTGATATGTTTTTGATAGATATGCTTATCAGTTATCAATTATCCACATAGAAAACAACAACAACAACAGTAAGGATAATAACTCTATAAAGAGCATGTATAGAAGTAAGAAGTTAATCAAAGCGTGTATCAAGTAGCATATTCATTGTTATATACAAAAATAAAGATTAGCGGACTTTATATCCAGGATTTATTATGCAGATAACAATTTTATTACAGTAACATCCGGGTGTTTTGTTACCTGTTACTTTTTTGTCAACACAATACACGGTAAATAAATACAGTACATGTCCTAACTGTTTATATTGATTTTATTAGATTTTTGTAATAATAAAACAAAGACGCTAATTTAGGTATGTATCATAATTAAATGTTTAGTATAATTACATGAATGCATTTTTTATGTAACATGTTTTCACTATATATAGTCGTATAAAACGAGGGGGTGGGGAAACTTTGCAGGTCATTGCTGGGTATTTTTATCCAGTTATTTATGCAATTGAAAATTCTTCTATTAAAATGTTTTACTAAACTAAATATTTCAATGCGTAAACAAGAAAATCATTGATGCAAAGCATCAAAGGGCGACGCCAAAAGAATTTGATCCAGATTTGCACCTAAATACTTAACAAAAGATGTGTACTTTATAGCAGTACCATTACATGTGACCTGGAGGCTAGGGCCAGTTTAAGTTGAAACTTAAACCAAAAAAGAATAGACTCTGTCTTGCCAAGATGCAAAGACAATTTATAGTCAATTAAGCAATCTTATAAGACTCATGCTATAAGAAAGAATTTCTTCAGATTTATTTTATGAGACACAAGGATTCCTGAGTCATCAGCATATAATCACAGGCACGAGTATCGGACCTGGGAAGAAAAAATATGACCAGATGACCAGATTGATAAAAAAACTGTGTTTATAAAAACCAAAAAAAAAAATGTAAATAATGATCCCCTTTAAAAATATACTATCAACTTGAAGTATATTTTTAAAGGGGGTCATTATTTACATTTTATTTTGGTTGTTGACACTTTTAAGATGAACACAGGTTTTTTTATCAATCTGGCCATATTTTTTCTTCCAAGGTCTGATACTCGTGCCTGTGCATTATAATAAAAGCTTACTGCTTAGGGTTGAAGACATGTAATTGACATATATTAGACATAAAAGAGGACCTAAAATGAACATCAGGGGGACAGCATAGGTACTCAGAGCAGTAGTAGAATGAGTACCAGCCACATCAACCAGCTACTATCAGAGATAATACTTAAACCATGTAAGAATGTCATTATATATGGCAGATGCTTGAAGTTTCATGAAGAAGAAGAAAAACAACTTCTTCATGTGCAGTATAGTGTGTTCAACTGTATCAAATGCCCTTTGTAGATCTAAAAGTATCATGCAATACTGCCTTTGTCCATTTCAAATAATGCAATCTGTTAAATGAATCAAACATGTGTCAATTGAAAAACCACTTCTAAACCCTGACTGAAACTGCCTGACCATGACTCGAACCCATGACTTTCAGAAGACCAACTGAGCTATCCGGCCTGCTTCACATTTTCTCTTTAATAATGAAACAGTTCTAAACCACAACATATTTCCCCACTATATCGATTTGTGTTCGTGAATTTCTTATGTTACAGAGAGAAAAACTTTGAGCTTGACCAGAACTCAAACCTGTGACCAACATAAGAAATTTTATGAAGGCTGATTTGTATTTTGCATCAAGGGCACCGGGCAAAAACATGAAAATGCAACAAACAAACCACTTTGTGGTAGATTGTATTTTCATGTTTTCATCTGGCGCCCAGTTACTTTTTGTACTATGTTGGTTTTCATGTGGCACAAATCACCCACTATAAATTTAGTGCACAAATTTATTCAAGGGCAAGTAACAATCTACTCTATGTACAGTCTGTTGTCGGGTTGACTCAGGAGACCTGGAGGTTGAGACCGGTGTCCCTTCATTACAAATAGATAAGACAGAAGCTGTCCTTTTCAAACTATGCACATGTTAAAAAAAATAGAATAACTATTCAGAATATGATTTTTTGAGACTTTATTAATTATATTGCTTGATCCAAGTTTAAGGACATTTTCAATCAATACATGTTTTATCATTTATAACTTTAAATGTAAGTCTCATCCCTTTAATTATAATGACATAACTGTATCTCTTTAAATGCAGAAAAATTATAAGTCTCAACATATCAATATACTACTGTCTAAAGATATACATGTATGCACATAACATTAATAATTCCCAGTTTATATTAAATAAATATGAAATCCTAACATTAACATTAACATGCTTTTGATGACCTTACAACTGGTGAATTATATACAACAAAAATAGTATTATAAGTAATACCTAAGATAGACAGAAAAGAACAAATAATTTAGTAAACATGAGTTACTTCCCCTTACAATAAAGAAAACCTGAAACCCAAAAGAACACCCTAAACAGCAAAATTATGAAATGCTGCAGGTTCAGTTTTATCAAGCCATGCAAATTAATGGTAATTTATAAAAGTATTCATAAAAAAATAGATGGCCATGTGTCAGCAGTAATTGCAGAAAATCGGATAGCTTTCAACATCCGGATACTAGTACACTTTGTAAAAACAACCATTCTGCGCAACAGATAAATGTAATAAGGATAAAATCAATAGGATAATCGTTTACAACAGTTCCATTACCTATCCTTATACTCAATTGCAGGTGAACTTTCTTCTTGTAGGAAAATTTTGAAAATGTATAAATGAATGAATGAACTGATACGGCCTCAATCTAGACCACAACGATATTCGAAATCCGGGTTTTAGTATTGTCATTAAAACTAAGGGACAAGCTGTTAAACTTAACCTGCAATTTCGTGAAAATAATATCACAATGCACATGCTTTTTACATAAAGTTATTAAATACAAATATAACAACACATTTGTTTACTTGATTTTTACGAATCAAAATAAAACTAATTAACACAACATGAAATTAACTGCTAATAATAACAGCTCCTTCCATAGGCAAAAATAAAAAGCGTTCCATAATAGACGACGCCGCTCACCGGCGTCGCCAATAATTGTATCCAATGCGACCAATCCAATACAAATGCGACCAATACCAATGTATTATCCAATACCAATGCGACCAGCACTTTTGGTAGTAAATATAGAAAAGCCTCAACTTACGGAGGTTTTTTAAACACCAATTAAAAATTACATGTGTAAGCAAATGTGTGTAGACTATTAATTATTGCATTTGTAAAACTGAATACTAGATTTACAGGATCTTTGACTGTTGACCTACAATAATGACATATATCTCGTAAACATTCATCAAAATTCACGATGATCTTTATTCTGCATCTTCTTACTTCTATTTTTAGAAATATGTTGAAAGCGTTGACATTTTTGGCGCGTTTTTTTTAAATGTCATATAAAAGGAATGGCCACGTGTTACAGCCATATTTCACATCATTTACATTTTTAACATACACTTGCACATGGCAGAATCTTGTGTAGAGGGAATTTATCGTGCCATATTTTTTATAATCTTTAAATCATCAGGGACCTCTTTGTTTCAGGAGCATTATTGAATAATTTCATTTAACAGACGGCACAATTTTAACTTGCCATTTAGTATGGCGTCTTGTTCAGAAATCTTCAATTCCAAGTATCACACAAACTATCCTTTTTTGTGCGAATTATTTTTTCAATTCATATATAGAATTTATCAAATCAATTTGATTTTAAACGGAAATAAAGACAATTGTAAATTGTAACACGAAAATACCACGGAGATCGATGCCATTGAGCCAGAACAAGTAATAATAGCTTCTTGTAAACGCTGCCCTAAGTTTTCTATTTATTGACATGCTTTCCCTGAATATTTCGCCTCGGCACGAAACTGTGACATGACTGTATATTCTTTAAATTTACTTACAATATTTGACTATATAACAAAAATAGTTATATTCTAATTTATAAGGAGACATCAATAAATGTTTAAATCTATTTTATTTTGTCCCGATTTATCTCTTACAAGATACATGAAATATAAAAAATCCATATAAATACATTTTGTTCAAACGGCCCGACATATCACATCAATGCCCTGGTTACATACATACATGTATATATAATTTAAAATAATCAAGCAAATATATAAAATAAGTATGTTTAAGCATTTGTATAAAACATAAGCGTTACATCGACTTATTTACAAAATAAAAAATGACAAATTATGATTGTCTTAAAATAGTTATTGCAATAATACCCTGTTTCTGTAAGAGCTAAAATAAAATGTAATGTTTCCGAAAAAATAAAAGTAATCTAAAAACGTGCATTATGACATTCAAGTTAAAAGTAGACATTCAAGTTAACATGTATATTTGAAAATGTAAAAAAAAAATGGTCAAATATTTTATTATTCAAATGATATTTGTTCAAATAATTGTAAATAAATTCTTATATTTTCTCTAACGTGTAAAATGTTTGACTAGAGTAAGATTAAAAAAAAAAAACACAATTTTTGTTCAGAGTTGAGCATTGAGTAAAGGGAGACACCTCAAATATTACGACGCTGGAGGTTTTGGTGGCTGATCTACCCTGTAAATGCTATCGGCTATTACAAAATACCCCCTGTACTCGACTTCCTCGGGGGTAGTGTCGTAGTGATAGTGACCACCTTGACCGTGCATGCTAAAACAATGCCAGTGCTCGTCCCGTAGGTTATAACCCTGAAATACACAAACTTGGAATACAATAATGTTATTTTTATTTTTTATTTTGAAATATCAAGGGGTTCAGCTATGTAAATGATAGAACATTTCAGTACGTCATAATATAGACAGTAAATGAAATCTTACAGGATCGTGCGAGACCAACTCTCCCACACAGATTAGAGTTGGGTCCATGGTGAAAAATTTCAACCAATTATCTACCATTTCTTGACTGGTTAAAGGTGTTTTTGAAAAGTCATCCTGAAATAAAAATACAGATCTATGATGCTGTTAATGAACATATACAATATTGATGATAAACGTGTACAAAACTGGTGATAAACATGTACAATACAGTTGATAAACATGTACAATACTGGTAATAAAAAATGTTCAATATGGTGATAAACATATACTATATTTTTTTGTAAACAATACTACTAAAACATGTATAATGCTGTTGATAAAGCAATAATTGGGATAAACATGTACAATACAGGTGATAAACATATACAGTACTGTTGATAAACGTATACAGTTCTGTTGATAAATGTGTAAGAAACAAGTGATTAATGTATACAGTAGTGATGATAAACATGTAAATTACTGGTGATTAACACGAATGATATCGGCGATAAACATGTACAGTACTGCTTATATCAAGGACAATAGCGATGACATGTAAATTACTGGTGATACACACAAACAATTGTGGTGATAAACATTGACATTTTGTTCATAAACACGTAAAATACTGAAAATAAACATGTACAGTAATGGTGATAAACATGTACATCACTGGTGATAAACATGAATTATGCAGTTTTCATTCAAATGACATTGCCAATCTTCAGATGAGTAAATATGGTGTCAAAAATCAAGCTTCAAAGAGATAAAAGAGGTCAGTTAAACATGTACATACATGTACATACGTGTATATACAGTCTGCTATAATAAATGACAGGCTATTTACGATTATAGTAGCATCTGCTCCTTTCACATTTTCTCATATAAAAAAATACTTAATAACCAATGTTATTTACTTAAATATATGCAAGTTTGTTGTCGTTTTTTTCAACAAATCATATTCTCAAGTTATATTGTAAACTGTTAAAATTTTCTATGCACCTACCATTATATGAGTGTACGTCTTTCCTTTTTCTACAAGGAAAACCCCGCCCAGTGCCACCGGTTTATCCCCATAGTGCGCGCGCAAACTCATTTTTATACTTCTACTGAAATCGTCTGCTCCGTGTCGTTTACTTGCCTTTACTTCAATAACCTGAATACATGTAATAATAATAATAAAATAATAGTAATAATAATATACAAAATATAAACATAATCGCATTTTAAATAAGTGAATAAAAAGTAAAAACATAGTGCACAAAAAATCTAGCCAAAGGAGAAGAATTCTCTAAGACTCGTCTTTTGTTCACATCCTTTTCCATTATGTAAAATATTTTGTTTGTTGATTATTTGTTTTTTACATTATACATACTTTTGGGAATAAATATGTTTAAACCAAAACATTTACTGATATTGACATTTTGCGTCATTTAGTACATTTAGAAGAATTATTCTGTAAAAAAAGGGATCGAGTAAATTTACGTACATGTATATGAAAATTTGCAAATAAGTTATTGCTCTAAACCTTCATGACATGAAACATTTATCTTGCAAAAAATATTTCAAGTCTCGTAATGTCAATGAACGTCAGTGGAGTCCCTTTAATTATAGGAAATCCATAGAGAATTCGCTGCTTGACGTTAGAAACTTCGTCAGAACTTATCGTTCCTTTGCGATAGAGAATTCATTGCATCTTTACCATACAGAATCCATTGTTCCCTTCACGACATATATTCAAAGCATTGTTTTTGCTTTTTCATCATAACCTACCTTGCCAGGTTTCCCGTCAGAAACAAGGAAGTTTCCCATCAAACAAAACTCCTCCGCGTTCAGTTTCTCCAGTATACATTCTCCTGTCTAAAACATAAATACATCAATAATTATTGTTATTTCATTTTGTAGCACGGACAATGCTGAAATCAAAATAAGAATATATATTTTAAATATCTTTAAATCTTTAGATATCTTTTAAAGAACCGAGTAGAATATCATTGCCTATGTAAAATCTAAAGCTAAATTCAAACAAATTGTTCTTGTTTTTTTTTCTATTACATTGTATATTGTAGCAGAGATGAATCAACCATAATGTTTATTTAATACAAGTTTTTTATTGAACAAAACATATTTTTTGATGTTTTTGATTTTGTATCTTTTTTACGTATGGTTTCAAATCGTTCTGAAACTGTAATGGTCCTATAGGGATTTCCTATCTGTACTTGCGGTGCTTTTCGCGTGCATTTATTCAGGCACGAGCGTATTCTGAGAAGAATCGCCAACCATCCTAAATACATGAAAAAATTGTATAAAAATGATAATTGTTTGGTTAAGATCAACATTACCTGCATGTTTAACTTGGAGATCCACGCATTATTTATCACCTTCCCATCAGCTGCATATTTGATATTGTTCATCAGCTAAAAATAAATATAACTGATATATATTCAATTTTCACCATTCTAAGCATGCGTAATAATGGTCTTCAAGGACTAGAAAAATGTATCACTGATATAAAAGAAGAACTGCCAGTTACTGGCTTAAATATTCATCTGCCAAAATACTCGTACAGCACTTAACACCTGATGTTTTGTTTTAAAGTTCATTTACTATTATAGTATTTGACTAGTTTTTATAAATATCCGAATAGAAAAATGCTTTATATGAATTCAGCAGACCCACTTCAGAATCATTATTCCAATATAACAAATGCATATATCACCTCCGAATTGATGCCCACAATATGGGCGGGGCCTGCCCCAGCACCAATCATAAAGGCGTTTGGTAGTTCACATAGCTTGGCTATCTCTTTAAACTTAAATATCTGGAAATAATATTTATAAAACTTGTTATTAGATAAAACGAATAACTTGTAAAAATTAAAAATTAATATACATGTATCTTGAACAGAATAGCTAAAGCGCAAAATATCCGCCGTCATATTTACCACATCTTTTCTTTAAAAAAAAACTAGCAAGCTTTTTTTTCACAATTTAAAGTAAACTTATTTTCAGTTAAATCGGTTAATCAAGAAAATGAGCCCAATCTTAGTATCGAGAATGCTTGGAATATTCCAACATTCGGTGCAGGTTCTAAGTAATTACTTCCGGTCAATGGAGAAGTACAAAAACAACTAAAGTTGGAAAAGAATGTGTTATCTAAATAACAGAAAATAAAGAAAAGGATGATAACACTGACTATACGTGATGTATTTTAATTTGTATTAAATAAAAAATACAGATAACTTATGAACACTTGCTTTGTCCCTCTGTACAAGGGGTAGAAGAAATCCTGGTCCCCCAATATCGGCAAGTCTAGCATTGCCACAAATGCCTGCAATATCAAACACATCGTATAAACACCATTGTAGTTAAAAATCAAAGCGCTCAAAGTACTGGAAACCAGCGAAGTACATGTATTGTATGCAATAAGAAGATCGAAGGTCTTCGTTAATTAAAATCAAATGATTTCATATAGTAAAGTTATTTCATTTAGAAACTATCTTTATTATACCCAAACAAAGATGGTACAAATGAAATGCATTGTTACTTTTCTGGCGTAAAGAACAGTTTGGGTTTTGGTTTAATGCCGTCAGAATCAGTCACCATTTGGCAGTTTAAGCACGTGTATTGAAGGTAAGAATAGTAGATAGTAGTCAGAAAAAGTATCGGGAAAAAGCGTTTTGAAGTATTTTATCGTGATAAAAAAAACTTCACAGAAAATGTAATTTACTCGCTATTATCGTTACATTTAAAAAGTAAATTCGAAATGCACTTTTAATACCGAATTATTCCACATTCGTACGGCTGTGATTCGAACGTTTCGAAACATAAGTGCAAGGTTTTGTGAAAATTTTCACCAGTATAAAATGCACTGCTCCCATAAGGTAAAATAACTAGAATTGTAATTTATACCATTTTCTATTAAATATGTTTTTCCCAGATAAGACGCGAATGTTTTATTTTATGTAAAAAATACATCAGCTAACTTGAAATTGCAGTCACTTTCAACAACAAATGCAGTTTGTTTTTTCTGAAAGTCACAATTTTATTTTTATCTTTAAATTAAAATTTGTTAAATATTTTAATTGTTTTTCATAATGATATAATTATCAAAGACATAAAAAAATCGAAAGAAATATAATTATATGCTACTGACTGGCTATGAATTCAACTACAACTCGATGCATTTATTTGAAAGGAATCTTAACATGCGCAAACTGCGAGATCACGCACTGGTCGTGTTACAGTCAAATTATATCTCCACTAATTTGTAATTTAGTGAAGTATACTATCTAATGAGTTTATTCAGTAACATACTCTAACTGATATGTTATCAAACTGTAGATTGCACATACTTAAATAAATCACATGTACATCAGTATAGATACAGGAATATACAAAGCACTGTAGTGAAGTAATAACTACGCAAACCTATTTTAAACGAAATACAGTTAATCCTACAGTTCATATAATTTACGATGCTGATTAAATTGAACTCAATAATATTCCACATTACAGATCATCCCCTCCGTTCCAAAATAGCTAAACTTTGTGGTCGATTTCCAATCTAGTAACTATTTACAGGGACATTATCAATATCATTACAAAAATAATGTACAAGCAATTTTGCAGCATGTATATTAAATAATAAATATATATTAAGTTTGTATAAAGGTATTACAGCACAGCCTCTGGACAGCATTAACCTGTATGATAAAAGGATTTAGTTATTTTGGTTGTTGTTAAGAGGTGTGCTAAAACGAGGTTAAATATGTTGTGAGGGAATAGGTCATTTTCCGCAGAATGATTAGCCTAAGGACAAAAGTCTAAAATATTCCGTACCTTCTGATGACAGATGGAATGGAGGTTGAGTAAGATCCGGACAGTCCACCACCGACACCTCTACATTGGTGAAATTCTTCGCCAAACCTTCTTTGAGGACTAAAAAGAGGCAGAGGTACATGTGTTAATCCAGTCTTGAAATAGCATGCCAAGTTTTATGAAAGTTTTGAAAATGCATTCAAAAAGTAAAATATTGTGAAGTGAACAAAGAAAGTAATTAACACATCGTAAATAGCACATAAAATCAACGTAAATTACCAAAAATACACCAAAATGTGCAAAAAATAGCCTTTTCAGCGTTAGTCACGCTGTAGAAATGTGGTGATTAATATCTGCAAAACCAGTCATTAACCGCATATTAAATGTTAATTATTACGTGAATTTTGTATCTTTTCATTCTTCTTTTTAGTACATTTTTTTCAAGTTTGATTTTCTTGAAATATTAAATTTAGCTCATCTAGTTTAACCTCTTGAATTTCTTTAAAAGACCTTTCGTTACCAATTTTAAGATATTAAGATTATCCTTTATTTTTTGAAGTTGGTCAACTTTTCACATACAATTAAAAACCCGAAGATAAATATAGGCCTCTATTTACTCGTGTCGGAATATTTTTTTTTTTAATAGGCTTGAGTTTGAATAGTCATTCGACAGTACCTTACAAGTACACATTATTTCGTACTTGGCTAATCATCTGTATCCTCACATGTATAAAGCATGAAAATCACCTTTAACAAAGCGTTTGGTTATAGTTAAGCAAAAGAAAACCCGCCCCCTTCCACAGCCTCGCAGGTAGAGTAACGGGTTCAAAAGTTAGCACGGCATTTAAACACTGCATATATAAAATCACTACAAACAAATGTCACGCGGAAGCAACATTTGCATTCTATACAGTATAATAAACATTTACCTTTCGTTACATCTTCTAGACTTGGCACATGTGTCGGGATCTTGTCAACTTTTACTTCGTCCGTCATCATGAAATATCTGGGCCGATACTGTTTGTATGCGCTTGAACCGCTACAGGCAGCGCCCTAATTTCTTTGTAAATGTAGAGCGGAGAACCATTCTAGTTTTATTAAGAGTAGTTTCCCCTCTATTAACAAGTGAGGCCCGTTGCGGTATCTGTGAACTTATAGTTATTTAGCGCAATTGTTTAATGGCATAAATCGCATTCATCATTTTAATATTTGAGTAATTCGCATACATTGTTTCAGTAATGAACCGCATTACGTATGTATACATAATTTTAGTAATAGAGTAATTCGCAAATGGACCGCATTTCATATACATATGTTTAGTAATAGATTCGCACATATTCGCAACATTCGCACATATTGTTTTAGTAATTGACCGCATTACAAATATTATTTTAGTAGTAGGGTAAATCGAATACATTATTTCAATTATCGAGTAAATATATAATATACCTTGTTTTAGTTATCATAAAAAAGACCACATTACGTACACAATTTTTTTTAATTCAGCTGCATCTGTACGTATTTTTGTTCAACTGTCGATAATTCAAAGGAATGCTTGCAACATAATATTTTTTATCGTTGTCTACGCGCAATTTTAAAATTTTATCAGCTGACAGTATTCCGGAAACATTTTATAAGTTATGTAAGCTTTGATAAGATATGATTTTTTAACATATTTGATTGGGTTTTATGGTGCATAGGCACTGTTGAAGTCTTAGGTACCCTCTCTTGTAATCAATATTTCAGGCATAGGCGGACACCTGTGTAAAACCACCGATCTGCCGTTATTTAGCTACATACATGTAATTGGTTGTTGTTGTTTTTTTTTTTTTTCATAGGGAAGAATCCAAGGTAACTGCTGGTATTCGATTTTTTTTTCAAAACAGCTTATAATAAGATTCATTGACATATATGATAAGTATACGTGCTGGGATTGACAAATATACATTTTATTTGGATTTTAAGGGGTTTTGGGGCTCCACACCCCAAGTGTCTGTGTAACAGTGCAGGACAGGGATTCGAAACATCTTAAGTATATAAATTCAATTATTTTGTATTATATTTGATTTTGAAGTATCAGGTGTATCATGATTTTCAAAATAAAACCTTTACCAAAACACTTCTTTTTTTGCTTGATATACCTTGGTATTAAAATTTTGAATATATAATATCGCATATGATAAGTACAATAAATAAAACGCTTTCTCCTTTACGCCTTATGGATTCCTGTACAAGAAGAAATTTGTATAGAGATGTAAAGAAAAATCACGTGAAGTGTACTTCATTTATTTTCTAATATATTTCAGGGATTTCCGCCGATTCATTTTCACATGATGTGACGGATTTTTTTCATCATTAAATTTTATCGGGCTGGGTAAACGGGTACAGGTCATTATATACCAAATATTTACATACCTACGTATATCTGAAATATAACACTTACACTGCACAGAAAAAACTTCGTGAAGTTTTTAAAAAAATACACGGAAATCTATCCTCGTGCTCACCATAATAATTATTATCATCATTTTATCATCATCATTATCCTCATCTTAATACTATTAATTATTATTATTATTTTTATTATAATTATTACAATTTATTATTATTATTTTTATCATCATTATTACAATTTATTATTATTATTATTATTATCATCAGCATTATCATTATCATTATTATTATTATTATTATTATTATTATTATTATTATTATTATTATTATAATTATTATAATTATTATTATTATTATTATTATTATTATCACCATTTTTATTATTATTATCACCATTTTTATTATTATTATTATCATACTTAAATTGTAACTATTATTATGATTATTATTCTAAATGTATATCACATGAAGAATAAAAGATTACATGTGAAAATATTTACTATTAAAGATTAAAACTTAGTGATAGTTTGTCTTCTAACAAATTTCTGAATCATTATAACTTTATTTATAGCAAGAAGACAAAAGAATAAACAGCTTTGTATGGTCAATGAGTACCGTTCCGGAATTTGAAACTGAAGAGAGAAAAAAGGCACTAAAAATACAAGGCTTATTAGAAATAAATAAAATAGCATAGCAACTTGGCTCTAAATGGGCCTTTAAACTGACATTTATCTGACCTAGTCCTGTCACTGCGTTATACTTTAAAAAAAACTTAAAAGTTGTCTAGTTAAGTGTTGTAAGGACGATTGTTTCTTATATTTGTTCCAAATTTTAGCCATTTGGGCTTCTGATTTCGTGAACAGTGTGTACAAATCCGCACACAACTGACCTCTGAATCATTTATCAATAAATTATTTTTACAAGTATTTTTTTGTCGATTCTAATTTCACATACATACGTATTTTGTCAAAGCGAAGAAAATGTAGTGGCAACAAAGTTTTGTAGGACAGTATGAATTTAAGCCACGCTTAAAAATGGCCATCTCTGTGTCTATATTTATATTTAGTATTAAAAAATGACTGTCCGGAAATTCTACCCGATTTGGTCTATTTATAGAATATATACAGAAGAAGGGGGTAAATGACCATTCATGGAATAACCTTATTTAAACTCAAAGCTTGTACAAAAATAAAAGCCAGATCAATTCACATTAATGTACGCTTTATGAACATTTTGTTTAACACACGTTAACCTTTCTTTATAACAAATATCAGTATTTGTAGAGTTGAAACCTAATACATGTAAATTAGCTAACGCTCGTATAGACTTGGAACATTTATTTTTAACAGACAACTAATTTTGTAAAGAGTTGACCTCCTTTAATTCATATGTACATTATGTGTAAACTGCTTATCTGTGACTAATTTTGGAATTTTTTTTTTTGGATTTTTTCTTTTTGAAAACAGAGATATATGTGCATGTATAAAAGTTTGAATCTACAGTTGATGATTGAGAACGACAGAGGAAAAAAACAATACATTGTCCTTTATTGTGTTTCATAATATAGTATCATTTCATCAACCATATCAAATTGCATTTTAACTGAGGTTAAAACGAGTGAAATTGCGAAATTGTTCGTATCTTTTTTTAAATAATACGCTAGTATTTACATTTCATATTTATTTTATTCTTTGATATATTTAATAACATCGGAATATCATAACATAACATGGCTGAGGCCATTTCAGAAGATATAAAAGTGGATAAAACATGTAATAAAGATAGTCTCGTGGAGGTGGAAGATAGAAATGGGACAGAAGAAGATCGTCTTGGAGACGAGGACGTTGCTGACGGCTTTATTTCCGACATTTTCACTGTAAGTGTTGAATATATCTTGAAATATTTATTGAAATATTCGAATATTCAAAATTTCCTTCAATATTCCAAGCCGAGCCAATTGCCTGGTAATTTTTTTTTTCGTAACGTATGTTCAGAAATTCTTGGCTAGATCCCTGGAATAATTTATCTCTCTTATTTCTTTGATGTTTATATCCTTTTAAAGTTTTCTTGTTTATATTTAATTAGCTATAAAATCAATATGATTCCATTGTCAATTTTTTTCTTCTTTAAACTGTCACATTCGTTACTAGTGATTTTTTTTTAATTTTATCTAAGACTTGTACCTTAAAGTGCTATGCGGTTTATCTACGTTTAGTATACATACAGATAAGAAAATGACCAATAATGGAATAACCTTATTCAAAACTCGACGATGTTTTAAAAAAGAAAACCCCTAGATCAATATTCATTTAATTATTGAACTTTTGATAAATATCAATGGCCTTATAGAGGGTTCTCTTTTTCCTTATGATTTCATTTGATTTTTTATAGCTTTCAACATTGTATGTATTCCTTTTCAAGCTCCAAATACTGTATTTTTAGTAAAATATTTTTCACCAAATATACAGTAAACCATTCATACCGGGTCAATGTAATTCACATTTAGAAGTAAGTATACATGTAGATCTAATAATGTTTTTTCTCTTCGATCGTTGGCATGTTTTCGTCTAGATACAGTTTCGTCTATATACGTTTATTATGTCATTTATGATTGACGAGTTATCAGAACAATTTCGTTATCGAGTGTTCATACCTCAGTTGTTTGGACAATGGAGGAGTTTTTATCTGATTAGAGTGATTACACACTGTCATACAAATATGTTACTTCAGATATAAATATATGTTCCTTGTACAATAGTGAAGGCCAAATATATATCTTTAAATAAGTGTAATGTTTCCGTTTATAAAGAACAAAAATATAATAATATCAATAAAATTATGTATAATTAACGTTTGATATAAAAAGAATTTCGTGGCCGTTGACAATTGTACAGGACCTTAAAGGGACCTTCAGATATTTCTGATGTCCCCTCTACGCCACAGTACAATTGTTGTACTAAAATGAGTTTCTGTTGATAAAATGCACAGGGGATTAGTTATTTTTTCGTCAAAAATGAAACTTACCTATTATATTGATACTTTACTTGAACACATTTAGCATTTAACCGCTTGAAAACTTTACAGTTTATAGGTAGTTCGGGAGGGGGATGAGGGGTTTTGGTATTACATATAGGTTGGAGTTCTCTTGTTATTCCCTTGTCAAATATATGCAGTATAATGTAAAAATTACATGTGTATGACTGACTTCAAATATCATATACATATACACAATTATATTGTTTTCGTTTTATTTCTTTCTTTGTTCGTTCAAAAGTAAGGTCAAGTGTGTTTTACAATACCTTGACTTAATAGAAATTAATTTAAGTGTTATGCTTGTTTTTCAAACCATACATATATTATGATGTAAAATGATACATGCTTGTAAATTTGCAAACTAACATAGAAATCAGAATATAAGCATACTTTAATATGACTGGCCTGATATCCAAATTTAATATGACTGGCCTGACATCCAAATACGTAATGTTACATTTAAAAAAGGTTTAATTTAGGTGCTTCTCTCATTTTAAACTGCATGACATGATTGTGAAAAAAGATAAAAAATATCTTTTCAAAAATTAATAACAGGATTGATAGCCTATTATTATGATATTCTAAAGACGGGGGTATCGTTTTACTGGCTTATACTAGTATAATGTAATATAAATAATAGTATTC